AAAGATCGAAACGTTGGCACGATAAAGAAAATGTTTTTCTGAAACCTACATCACACCAGACCGCATCTCACGATTTCTGAATAATTATCGATTAACGGTCACTAATCACCACACATTAATAATTTATTAAATTTAAGTTTGTTAATAAAAAACGTCCGAAATTTTAAAAAAGTGAAAAAAAAAACAGAAGTGACATAAATACATGTATTATATAGGAGATAATAAACTTTTTCTAACTCGCTCATTCATTCACATTCTCGATCAATTATTGATTTACATTCTCGTTCAATTATTCATTCATTAACTCATGTATTACAGTATTACACTACACCATTAACACTCTCACTCACTCATTTACATCTCGTTAAATTATTCCTTCACACTCTCATTCGCATTCTCGCTCACTCATTCATTTACACTTTCAGTCGTATTCGCTTCTCTCTCTCCCGCACGCTCTCACACTCACTGATGCGAGCGTGCTCTCCCTAACTTACTCTCTTACTGCTTACTTAAGACAGAACTTACTTCTTACTCTCTGGTTCTCACTCATTCGCTCGTACCCCCTCACGTTCTCNAATGAGTAATCCTGTAAACGTAAACAGAATATTTTATATAGATTTTTTTTAATGAAAACTTAAAATCCTGCATTATTTTCCGGACAACCCAATACTACACTTTTAACTCATGAATTTATCTAGTACTTCAAATTCTGGTCTATGGCGTTAAAGTAAACAAACCTTATTTGCATATTAATTAATGATTGTTATATTTGATTTAAAGATATATCATTTTGTAAATCAATAGACGATCAGCGCTGGTCTTCTTGGACAATACTTTGTCTTCAGTACAAGTATTCCATCTGGTTTCACGGAAGTTCGAAGGTGAACATTAATGCTATAACGATACTAACACAGTTGATTGTACTAATTATGATTCAGTGGTGACAGTAATCTGGGGGTAAAGCGATTCCTTAGAAGTTCATGTGGGATATCCCATCCTGCTGGATGATTTCCTGAGAGGGTTTTTTTTTGAAATTCCAAATTTTGTATCATGATATGAGACACGTTTCTTAATAAGAAAACTGATTTTCGACCAAAAGAGAAGAATTTTGTCAGTTTATCAATTTTTTATGTTACTAGAATAACTTTTTTTTTTAATTTAAACATATAATTTTACACTATTTTATAAAGTATTGTTATGCCTAAAAACCATGTACCATCTTTGCATTTTAACAAAAAATATACAGTTCAATAGTNCACACTCACTCTCTCACACACACACACACACACACACACACACACACACACACACACACACACACACACACACACACACACACACAACACGTGACTACTTTACGAAAGAAAACGATGAACTTACAAAAAAATATGTCATACTTATTAGCTTATTAATGTTATATGTGAAAAAGTCATTATTTTTTATTAATTAATAAAATTCGCTAGAGTACAAAAATGTTGTAAAAATGTAATTATTGAAAAAAATCCCCTTTAAAATTTTTAGCAATTTTTTTTTAAAGTTAGGTATTCTGAATTTGATCGGTGCTGTTAAAAATCGAGGCTAGGAGTGTAAATTTTGCATATTCAATGAAAGACATTGGATGAAACGTTGCAAGTTGGTAAAATCAATGTAAGTAGGCATAATAGCGAGTATTTAAAGATTGAATACCGTCGTGAGCTTGGCGTCGTCTTGGGCTGAGCCGGCGAGGGTGACCGCGAGGAAGAAGACGAAGAAGAAGAAGGACGCTTTGATGGGTTCCATGGCGAGGCCGAAAACCGCTTGAATCCGTTGTACAAGTGGAAGAAACTGATCGACCCGCGTCCTCCAAACAACTTTTATCCTCTCACCCCCCCACGGACCGACCTTTCAAAGAAATACAACAAAATTCTGCTTAAATTGGCCATTTTGTCAATTTGGGGGGGCTTAAAAAGGTGTTTAACAATGAATGCTTAAATTTGTACATGATTTTTTTTTGCCTTCAAACAAGTAAAGCGTTTGGCAAATCTTCCATTGAAAAGAAAAGCTCGGAAGAAAAAATTACTTCTTGTTCATAAAAATTACAAATTTGTTCATAAACAGTGTACCATCTTACTTTTACATCTTGTTCCTTTATTTGGCAAGCCAATTAGGCCAATTTTTGGGTCAAAGTTATTTTATTTATCGAATTACTTACAATCATTGATTGTAATACATTATACAGTCATTATTCAATATATCTCATTATTTTTTTATTGAGTCATTTATTAGGCATAGTTAGGTGTAAACTGATTTTTGTAAATACATTATCTATTTGTTTTTTGCCATATTTGCGAATTTATTTGTTTATTTTATACAGAAGTTGAACCAAACAGACTACACTTTCAAAACAGGCCTAAGAATCATTAAGAATTATTCTTATTATGATGTATTATTTTAAGTACCTTATCTTTATTATCTTACCAAATATGTTAAAGACAATTGTTGAATATTGTTAGCAGTTGTTCAACATTCCCCATAGCTTTCAATGGGCATTCTTTGGACATGCAGTGCTCTATCCCTAATCCAAACTTCAGGTCTCCGAATGGTAAAAAGACTTACAAAGTCAGAATTTTTAAGAAAACAGTGAAACATTACTTGGGGGAAGGGAGAAAGAGAAATAGAAATAGAGATAGAGAGACAGAGAAAGAGTTAGTGAGAGTGAATGAGAGAGACTATGAAAAAAAAATGAGAGTGCAAGTGGTTGTGAGTGAGGGGAGTACAAGAGAATAAGTGACTAAGTGAGTGTGTGAACGAATGAGTGAGAGTGAGAAGGGGAGAGGGAGAACATAAATGAGTGAGTGCAAGTGAGTGAGAGAGTGTGAGTCTGGGGAGTACAAGAGAATGAGTGAGTCTGTGATTGTATAAGTGAGAAAGAGAGTGAGAACAAATATGTGAGTGAGTGTGTGAATGAATGAGAGAGTAATTGAGAAAGAAAGTGTGTGAGTCACATTGTGAGTGAGTGAGAGAGAGTATAAGTGACAGCGTGAATGAGTGAGTAATTGAGAAATAGTGTGTGAGTGAGTGAGAGAGAGTATGTGACAGCGTGAATGAGTGAGTAATTGATAAATAAATAGTGTGTAAGTGAGTGAGAGAGAGTATGTGACAGTGTGAATGAGTGAGTAAGAGGCTAAGTCATACAAAAAACCAAGACCAGCTTAGTCTATCTGAATTTTCAAGAATTTCTTTTGGTCAATGAATCCCTGACCTCCTTCACTGCTAAAAAATGAAATGTTAGTGTAGTGTATATTTTTCTTGTGTTAAGTACCTATTGCTTAAAAATGGATGAAATAGAGAAAGAAGTAACGAAGAAATAAAATTATTTAAAACAACTGATATTTTAAAGATAAGATGACAGTATAATCTATTTTAATAGGTTTTTTTGTATGGGATGTGTTTTATTGAATTTTTTTGCACATAGTATGCATTTTTTTAATATCCTCTGTAATCCAAAGAGCACTGTATTAAATCATGGCTTGATCTTCCCTTACCATCCAGGTCTAATCTCTTCCCATTGATTAGAGAAATATTTCAGCATCAGTTTTCTTAACTGATTTTTTAAGTACAAGTAACAGAAAGTTTGACAAGTTCCATGAATAAATATTGCTCTATCATTTTATTAATCATGTTTTGATGTTGAAGTTATGTTTTGACAGATCAATCGAATATAAAAGTATTGTTGTTTTAAGTAATTTAAAAAGGTAGTAAATAAAATACAAAACAATGGTTTGAGTATTTTTCTTTATTATACATTTGTTTTGTTATGATACATTAATTTAAATAGGCGAATTCGTGGTATTCACTACGAGCTCAATTGTATCTAATTATGGAGTCGACTACTTTTGCAGAGCCCTCTTCTGCAACAACTCCCAACCAACCAACCCCTGCGAAGCCTGCACGCAAACCAGGCAAGAATTCGCGTCAGCAAAAAGCTGAGAACTTTCGTATAAAGAAGAATCAGGAGTTTGATAAACAACTCAGAACTAAACAAGAGACCTGGGCTGCACAGTTCAAAGTTACAGCAGATGAAATATTTCAAGTAAATAATACTATCCAACTGTACATTAATTTAAATAGATAATTAAATACATTTTAAATATTTACAACATTTATAATACTCCTATGCATATTTCAACAACAATTATTGTACACATTATAAATTAATTGTCATTTTAAGGTTATATCTATATAAAAAAATAAGTAATTATACTATTATTTAGTATTTGTCATGGTCTTGTTTTGGGATCAACTAGTGTATTGAAAAATTCGCAAATGAATATGTAAACCGCTACAAATTATCTAATACACATTTTGAAACTGGAAGACTCATTTATTGATAACTACAATTAATAATCCTATAAAATGCCTTCTAATATAATAATCACCCAGTAAGTCTTTTGAGACTCAGAATCCATTAAATACATAAGAAATGAAATTTTTCACATAAAGTATCACAGAATTTTCATTTCAACTGCACCAGCATCATTCAGCAAAGTATAAAGACTATGGTCATGGTAACTTTAATCGGTAAGCAAAAATTATAATACGCGTGAAAAATAATATAATTGTTTAATAAAAGTCACGTATAAAAAAAACTTATGAACTACATTTTTTCATACTTTGAGGCTTGAACTTACAAACTTTTATAAATGCAATAAATAAATACAGCAGATTCAAAAATTCCAACATTTAAATAAATATTATTGATCGATAAATAATACATCAGCTTATTTTTTAACAATAATGATATTAAAAGATGGTCTAACAAAAGCAAAAATTAGTAAGAGATGATTATATCTATCAATTCTATAAAAACTGTATTAGTAATACAATAAATCTAACGATTAGTTAAAATTAGAGAGAATTTGTACTAATAATTAGTGCTCACAGATTCTTTTGAAACTTTAACTAAATATTAAATATCTTTAAAGCATACTCTTCCCCCATCATCCTGGTCTGCCTATTCTCCCTGGTATAGTCTGCGAGATCAGTTTCATTTCAGCATTTTGCCATCGTCAGTGGTTTTTCTGACAAAACCAGTGATAATATACCAGGATGATCAGAGGTGTTCTTGAGGTTTGTCACCTTGTCAACATCACAATTAAGTTTTGTATTACAACTTTTTATAGCCTTGATTAATATATTACTATTAATGTAATCACAGTCAGTAAAGCGAGACAAATTAATTTGCTTTCGTTGGACTATCCTTTCATCACATTTTCACATTTTAAATATAGTTTTACCAACCAATTTATTTTTATTTATACTAAAGGTAAAACGTAGTCTCCCAAATCAACACTTAAACTTCACTGCCTCATTAAGTCCAAAGCGTTTAAGATACACTTATTTAAGTAAAACAGTTTGTAATTTTAAGCAACTTTTATTATAAAAAACAAGTCTCATGTGTAATTAAAATTATTTTCAAATGTGATTTTATTAAATTTAAATTATAAACATTACCAAATAAAGAATACTTTTGAAAGATTTCAAGACGACTGGATAATTTGAATCAACAAATTTTGGCTTTATAGCTCCACAACTGTAAAATACTTTTGTACTCGGTACAAAAATAAATTTCACATGGAAGACTTCCAGCTTTATAAGTACTAACATTTAACAAGTACTATAGATCATTCTTAATAAATATTTTGGTAATTTGTTATCGGAATGAAATTATAATTTATAATACCAGGACTTTGCCCAGTGACTATTTGAACTTACACTCAAATACAAGCAGAATGTAGAATAATTTGTTTTCAAGTTAAAATTAGATTTAATTATTGTAATTAATTAAGCTTAAACTTCAAATTAGACAGATTAAAAATTTGCCAGTCATATTTAATAGTATAATTAACTTTCAAATTGCACTAATTTACAATATAGATATTAACACTGTATTGTACATGTGTACTTTTATTTTAAAATATTGGCATGAATTAGCCTTGCACAAATGTGCTTAATACTGATGAACATTATTTGAATTTTTTATCTAATTAATTTACTAATTATTTTTAAAATTTTATTATAAAAATTATTATTAGAAGTTGTACAACAGTCGGAGCCTGGATTTAGTTATTTTATATTTTTATACTCGTATATTGTATGTATGCTCTATGTATTGTCTTTTTATTATCAAAAAACAAAATAAATTCTATATTCTGCTTATTTGAACACATTTACACTTTCAATTTTAAGTAATAACTATGTAATAAAAAAATTACAAATCAGAATAATTTAAAAATAATATTAAAAAATTCTTTGTTGAAGAAAAAAAGCCAAATATACAACAATAAAATAAATAATATAGATAATTACTTTCCAAAATAAATAGTATATAAAAAGGAGCTTTGAAATATAAGGTAACACTTAGCTTTCTGGTTTGTAGATGATGTCATAAAGACTGGCGTACGTGCCAAAGAGAAAACCAGTTATGCCGAAGAGAGCAATGGCGATGTCTTTGCATAACGTGGTTTTTGTAAGACCACGGTCCCAGAATGTCACGATCTCTATGACCGGTGGGAAGATCAGTGCGAGAGTCGAACTGCTCAGAGCGCCGACAAGCGAGATGACTGCACCCAGGTTAGGAATCGCCACGGCAAGACAGACTGAAATGATAGAAGTGTCTCTAGGCCTTTTCTTTTGTTTTTACCAAATTTCTTTATTTGAATCTTAGTAGTAAATATTATTTTATTCAAGTTGCTGTTCTGTTTGACTCTTGATTTATTTTTATATAACATTACCTATTTACTTTCTTTCATGAGTCATAATATTTTACAGGTAACACACTTGCTTGTGCCGTTGTCGAGAATGGGTTTACCATGAATTTTTAAAGCAATATTTAACATAGTAGTATCCCTGCTTCACTATTTGAACTTCAAATAATAAAACAATCATGAAAAGCCATGTTGATGCTGACAATTCAATATGGAAGACTTACAAGTAAAAACGACAAGTAGAGCCCTCGTGACTAGCTCCCCCACTTTGTGGTATCTTTCATCGATCCGCTGCATGACGAAAGGCCAGATGATGCCCATCGGTACATAGAATTGAAGACCGTAAGAAAGAAATATCGCCAGAGCCAACATGACCCTCACCGTCTGCCCAAGTCTAAAAGCAACGAATTTATTAATAAATGTCAGGATGAGAGGATATACGCTGGAAATTACATTTCTGTGATAGAGATGTTTAATGTGACACTACCGGTCTTCATGTTGTCTCCATATCGAAGATATCCGAAGAAACCGACGGCTGTATAAAGGCAAGCGACAATGACCATACCTGTGTTGAGAACACCTGTCAAACCTCCAAAGTCTTCTGGTGTTTTCATATTGTTCTCTAATGGAAGAACCTTGCAAAAATAAAGTATACACTTTCAATACAATTAACCAAATTTGATTATAAACTTAAAAGTTAGGATATCTTGTATAAATTATAAAAATATAATTGATAATCAAAACATGTAAAGATTTAAATAATTCAATATTTAATAGTTTTTTTATCTCCTTACGAGGATATTTCAACTACGAGGTTATAAGAACCTAGGGGTGCTGGTGCTTTTGGGGAAAAAAAAATTAAAAAAGCCTATTTGTAAGTACGTTGGGTTCAAATGCAGGGCTGTTGAATTTAAGCAGGGCGCCTTTACCTTAAGAACGCCATGTCAATGCCAAACCGTTGTGGTCCATTTAATAAAATTAAAATCTCAAATCAGTCTAATCATTGGATCAAATTGTTCCATTTGATTTTTTCACTTATTTTTAATACCGATTTATTCAATACCTGGTACAACACAAAAAAAATTTAAATAACTTACAACACCAATTCCTTCAAAGGCATATATTGCCGTGCCAAAAAAAAGCGGCCATTGTGCGATTGGTGCAAACATCTTGACAGTGCTAGTCCTAGGGAGGTCCGTCAACAAATACGAGAAAGTCATTCCCAGACCCGTAATAGTAAGTATGAAAGCGAAGAGTGAGATCGGTGTCAGGTACTTTAAGTTCTTGACCCAGTTCAACAGAATCATCGGCAGAAGAAGAGCAAATAGATACCACGTCACACTTGTCTCTGGCATGTACAGGTTGGCAACCTGAAACCATCAGTTTTTTTAGAAATTTTATATCCATGAGGATAAACATGAGAAATTTTGTAATTGAGAGATTATCAACTCTAATCAATACAAACTAAAGAAAAGAATGGAAAGTACCTTTATCAATATTAATTTTGTTTGAAAAAACATCTTTTTTTTACAGACCTGTTGCAGGTTCCTGGCGACAAAGACAAAATAGACACAGCAGAAGCCCAATTGAGTTATCACAAGGAAAATATTCAATACTATCCTAAAAATATAAGCATTTTTTTAGAGTAAAAGATTTGTAACAAAGGATTAATAAAAAAAATACCGTATAAAAGAAGATAATGGCTGAAATGTAGGTGGCCCTGTGATAAATGCCTGTTGGACAACATCAGCAAAATTTAGAGATGGTTTTTGGGTCCTTCTACACAGCTCATGTGAACAATTAACCTGAAAAGTTTTGAAAAGAATTTTTTTTTTTAAATAAATTTTTTACTTGTTCAAATATATATTTGTTTAACACGTTATTCTTGGTGGTTCTGACCAGCAAGTAAACAAAGCTACTAAATAGTACTAAATCATAGTCTGAACATAGAGGCCCTTACTAAAATATGCATGCAGTGTGTGCAAATTGCACCCATCATAAGCGTTCCGAAGGTGCCCAAGGCGAGGCCTGCATTCAAGAACGCATCAGGCATCGCCAGAATCCCTGTACCGATGTTGCCTTTAAGAAGATGAATCATCGTGTCCATGTTCCTGGAAAATAAACAACATCAAACATGGAATATTATAATTATAATTAAGACTCTTACGTCGTAGGATGCTCGAGTTGTCGGCTGAGAATCGGATTGCATAAAGAATCGGCAGGTGGTTCGGCCAACCTTTTCGGCATAGGTATTGTCGTGTCTCCCTCTTGGAGTTCACCAGCGTTCCCAGCAAGTCTAACAACAAATATACTTTAGGCGAAATATTAAGTGAAGCTGACTCTAAAATACCTTTCGTTCTCATTGTTGGTGTCTGTGCTGTTTATCAACAGAGGTTGTCGTTCTTCCTTCATCCTCAATGTTTTCTTCACAGGGTTACTGATCTAATAAATCAGTCCAATTATGTATGAAATAATGGAAGTAAATCACAAGTTAAAAATTCGAAGTTCATACAAGCAACACAACAAATGTACTTCTACATTTGTGTACTAATTAAAATAATTGCCTTTTTTTAACATGCAAAATATAAAGTTTCTATGAAGCGAGATGGCTGTATTTAGTCTTTACTCTTTCTCAACGAATTGTATACTGGAAAATATTTAAGTATGGCCTTGAATTGTCTGATATACTCAGATAGTGAATGAATGAATTTATGAAAAGATTCAATGAAGGTGGACAAAGAAAAAAAATAAATAAGTAGAAGGACATTAAATAGTCTTGTGGGTATATTGATACATATACTTTTTTCTTCTTCTTTTTTTTTTTTTTTGTAGATGCATAAATGAAATAATGGAAATAGATAAATGCAAATTCAAATCACTTAGATAGTATCAAACTGACAATTTCCTATCTGCATTTACAATGACAGTATTTTTTGCTAATATTTGTGATGGTGTCAATTTTTAATCATTCAAATTTAAAAAAACATATAGTGAAATACATATAAGCGAAATAAATATAATAATATAAAAAGTTCAAACTGCAGAGACTTACAATCCACAGCATTGAAATGTCGAATGATTAAATCACACTGTTAGATCAAACTATAAAGAATTAATGAGACTGTTTTCCCCTCTGTGGAAATTTCCCTGCTTGAACATCGGAAAAAAAACTGTTGATAAACCTGTGAGTTCAGGCTATCCGAAAGTCAACATTTTAATGGAATATTTTCATTTCGATCCTTAAATAGTTTACAATGCCGATAGGAAATGCACCTTTGACAACAGGCCTATAGTTTGCGATAAGCAAATAAAACAACACCGTGGGTAAAATATTTCCATTCTTTAAATCCCATTCATAAATCATGCTTTATCTTATATTTTAGATTTATTACAGATAGATTACAATTACGTACTTCTTTCTACAACAATATTTGTACAATTTTTAAATAATATCTTTTTAATAATCTTGATTGAAATTAAAAACTAATACAAGAGGGTCAGACCATTTTAATACTATCAGAGATTGAATCACAGAATAAAGCAATAAATAATTATTAGCAACCACAATACTCTATTCTAAAGTAAAATTTCTAAAATTAAAAGAAAAAAAAAGAGTTTTGAGATTAATTATCAGATTTTATTACAACATATTCATGCCACAAATGTGTACAACTTATATTTAAAAAATACAAGTAATTAAAAGATAAATCACAACATCAAAATGCTGGAAGGGAAAATGCTTTCTTTCATAAAAACTTACTTTACCATTTTCAAGGGTGTGGCGTCAACCATTCTTCCTAAAATTTCATACTAATCAGTGATTTTTTAGAGATGTTTGATTGCAAAGGCATGTACATGCAAGGGCTCAGCTTATTTTTATGTAGGTCATAAAGCAACATAAATTTTCAAGCTCAAAAGCAATATCATTTATATTCATCCATCGGAATATTTCTTTTTAACTAAAATTCTAATCACTAAAAATTAAGTTTTAGTTTATTTACATACAGAAAAACTGGAAAAAAGTATGTAATATAAGGTTAAACATCAGACCTTATTTTGACCTTGCAGCGGGCTCTCCTACCATAATTTCATTTTTATTGTATTTTTAGTTGTTGTTCCAATTTTGCCAAAAGTGGTTATTATTATAACCACAGCACATAAATATATAGAAAAAGCTATCAAAGTTTAACAATATTCAAAAAATTTCCAAAAACCAAATATTTTTCAAGTCAACTAGGCCATACATTTTTTTCCATAAAACTACAAAATTTGTTTTTAGCACTTATACTAAATATAAATTTTGTTTGAATTTAAATTGATCAATTTTTTGACCCCTAAAATTTTTCCGCTTTTTGAGTAGTTATCGGATAGAAAAGGCAGTGATTCAAAAATGGCTAAAATTATTATAACGTTAAAGAAACCATTTGAAAGAAGAGTAAAAAAGGTTTTTAAAGACATACGTACCATTAAAATATATAACTGATTTCTATAAGAAAAAACTCAAAATAACAAAATTACTTGCCAAAAATTAACCTCCCTTTTTTAAATAGAAATAATCTGACAATGAAAATTCCCTAAGTTGAGAATTTTTAAATAATTTGACTTACAATTTGCTGAAAAATCGGTAATCAAGAGATAGCCAATATAAAAAAACTTCTGAAATATATATCTTTGTAACGATCCCCCAAAATGGAAGACTTACTCAAGACTCGTACTGTTGGGCTGTGTCACAAATGCAGAAGTCTTAAAAATATCAAAAAAACTAAAGCATGCATTTGTAGGCAAATGCCATTGTACACGAATAACCTATATGATAATAGCTGAGCTAATCAGGAAGACTTTATGGAAAAAGACTAAATAATAACTGAATAAACATTGAAGAAGACCATAAAATTAAAAATTGCCTATCAAACAGATATTTTTAAAATACTTTTAAAAAATTATGTCACTTGTTTAAATAAGTATTTAACTTGTGCTAATTACTACCAGTTCTATTAACTTTGGTTTATTCAATTACCAGACTTTTTTTCAAACATTGCATTAAATTGCATGTGATTTATATGGGATCTATTTATTAGACATAATTAAAGGTGCAACAAGCACAACTAGTCTACAAAGATGTATACAGTTAGCATATTTTACGTTTCTTAAACACCCTAATCCATTTCTAAACCCACATGCCCTTTGATGTTGTCATTTTTAAATTTTGCAAAGGTGAAGAACAGAAGACTTGCTGATCTTTGACAATATTAATAAGTTAAGACATCTAACTTTGGACCAATTGCAAGAAAATGTTTCCTTATTTCATGGCTACATGGTTGTTTGATATGGAGCCATTCTAATGTGTCATATATGCCGTAAAAATCTCTTTAACATGAAATCTAATCCAATGCCAAGATTTACCATCAGCAATTTTTGGACAATTTTAACTTTACTCTTGACAGCACTTGGAAAAGATTTGATGTTCTTATTTAAATTTTTTGATCATTTTTCAGTGTTTATTTTCGTTCCAAAGGCAACAAGCCTGGCATGTCCAATTTATGTTTGAACAAAAAAAAAAAAAAAAAATGAAGTATACTCTGCAAAAAGAATCAAGAAACTCACTATCAGTCTAATAGATATACTTTCCTTTGCAAGAGAAAATCTTTTCATAGTCAATCAGAATATTATTAATTCCCTCAAACTATTACAAATTGTAAGTTCCAACTAGTTACATAATCCCTTATCATCATTTTTGCTTCATATAGAAAGACAACAATTAAAAAATAATTAAGACCTTAGTTAAGTGATGGGAGGACACAGTTTAATTGACTGCGTATGATTCATCATCTCTTTAAGCTACCAAAAAAGCAACCACTTAAGCCAATTAAGAAATCAATATCGATACTTATAATAAATATGGATGTTTAAGTTTTCAATGGAATTCTTTGTGTTGCCATTAAATTGAATAATTATGTTTAATGGAAGCAAGGGCTGTTGCTTTAATACGACAAAGCATGAGGGTTCCTCTAATCCTCCAACAATAATTACTATTGTGAGATGGTTGAATTTTGGAATTTTGCCATAGTCAGTCGGATCGAGTTACAAGTAATTTTCTTGTGAACATATCTTCCATTTAGGTTTTGTGTTTTTTTCATTTTTCCATCCTTAACTTGTTCAAACAAAAACAAACTGTGCAGAGGGAATCTAGCCACAATCTACTGTATTCTATTAAAATTCAATAAAGTTTCAAGATTTAGCCATCGTTTGATAAAAGAAAAACACTAACCAATAGAGGGCATCGTAAAATAGAAGGCCAACAACAGTCGAGAGAAATTTAGTTTTTCGGCATTTAGTCATTACCACCCAGAATATGAATCAAATTAGAGAGAAGAACTAATCACAAGTAATTTTATTGTTAGTATATCATATCTCCAATTTTTATGTAATGACGGTTGAGAAAAAAATTAGTGTCACGAGCGGGACTTGAACCCAAATTGACTCAAAACACCAACCATCATGATAGCTCAAGTTGTTAGAGCACTAGCATATTGAATCGAAGTTCATGGGTTCGAGTCTTGCTTGTGACACTAATTTTTCTTCTCAACCGTCTTTCCATAAAAGTTGGAAATAATAATTAATAATAAACAGATCACTAACTAAATAAATATGTTTGGTGTTTCTGTATTTTGCCAACATTGGTTTGCTAAAAGAATACAAATCCGGCATCATAGGCAACGATAAAACAGAATACAAGCCAACCAAAGAAGGAACTTGTGTTACAAGAAATTACATACTCCATTAAAATTAAGTTTTTGGCATTTAGCCATTTTGAACCAGTTAAACCAAAACACAAATCAAACAGGGGAGAACCAACCACTAGATACTATCTTGTCAATATATTCTATGGTTACGGGCTAGAACTCTCCTTGCGAAGATCCCATAACCCCCAAAGGCTGATTTGCTCGAGCAGTTAAATTGTATGTTTAGTTAGGTAATGAGAGAGAATAGGAAGGCGAACAAAAAAAAACCTACATTTGTATTTTGATAAAATTTATTATATTTTAATTAATAACCCAAAGATTGGTGTTACATTTAATTATTTTTCCCTTGTTTATTTGGCCACTTTCTTCTTCTAATCTAAGATGGTGCGAGGGTCACTCTTCATTAAAATTTTGTTTATCTGGATTTCACCATCATTGATTAGTTAAAAGACAATAAAAATCAACCAGAGGCTATCAAGCTGTAAAGTTATTTTCTTGCTAGTTTGTTAAAGTCTGGAGTTTCTGTATTCGTTGGCTGATCTAAACCAGAACAAAAACCTACAAACTAGCTATTTTCTTTATGGTATATACTCTGTTAAACTTTAGTTATGAGCATACAGCCATTTTAAGCCAGTTGAAACACAAGTCAAACATCAGAGCAGATGATCTAAGCACTAGTTATTCTCTTGTCACTACACCCTATCTACAAATTTTACAGATCGATATTTTGTCATTATTGGTTAGTTAAAAATAAAGTAATTCCTGTCAAACGAGAGGGCTTATCGTCCAACTACCCTGTTGCAAGGAGCAAACCACTTTACAATAATTCTTTCATACTATTCTCAATTAAAAAGCCGTGGGTTGTGCCCAGAATTGAACCCAGGAGTGTATGAGGCCCTAACCACTCAGCCACCAAGGTCCCCTTATAATTACTAAAATGTAAAGTAAAGTAATTCCTGTCATACAGGAGGGCTTAACATTCAACTACTCTTTGGTTGTCATGGTGAAGCGTCAAACCACTTTACAATATTTTTCAGACATTAAAAAGCCATGTGTTCTGTTGGAATTTGAACCCATGACTCCTAACATAGCAAATATGAGTCAAACGCCCTAACAACTCGCCCATGACAGTCCCTTCATTGCTTAGTTAAAACCATTACAAATCAATAAACAGGCAATCAAGCTGCAAGTTTTCTTGCTTGTATATTTGTTTAAGTCTGATGTTTCTGTATTTACTTTTATTCCCCCTTGAGGGTTCGCAACAACAGAGGTCATATCAACACTCGGGGTGTCGGCATTTTTGAAAAAAATCCCATTTGAATGTCGGGCTCGAATGCAAGGGCGCTGGATGTAAACCTAGGACTTTTTCCGTACAGTGATGATCGCTGTGTCAATGCCTACACCATTGTGGCCACCGATGCCCCATTTTTCGCTGAGCTTAACCATCCATTGGTTGGTCTAAACAAGAACGCACACAAAAGCAATTAAGGTGCTGAGCTACAAATTAATTTCTTGTTGGTATATTTTCTACTAGCTTTTATTCGCAACTTCGTCCATGCAGGACTCTGTTTTAATGTATCTTTCTAATGCGATGCAGAGTGCTAGTATGACTTTCTTCTTAAAAAATGTCTTATTTCTTAAATTCTTCAGTTCTTCAGTTCACTTCATATACATGATAAAAATTGTCCATGTGATCTCCTAAGGAATGGAATTTCAAAAAATCCGTTTTTAGTGGCTGTTCATATCATTATAGGACTAGAAATTTCATCCCTTTAGATCCAGCAGTTTGATCTTTGCACTGTCTGTTTGTCAATTTTTCCAAGAAATCTTCTGGCTCTTGAGTTTCATGTCAGTTCTTTGTTGTTAGATTCAATCAGTTTGAAAATCAATACATATAAATCAAACAATACAGAACTGACACAAATCTCAAGAACCAGACGGATTTCCTGGAAAAATTAAGCGTGCCCTCTCTTCATCAACACCAGTTTTTGTCAATAAAATGCAAAATTTTTGGGCCTCCCAGAAGTGCAATCCAAAAATATACCGCTGGAAACTAATTGAAGTAGTTATTAGCTGTTATAAATCAACCGTTTTCAAAAAATTCCAAATTTCAACATTTTTGTTTATTCTGCATTTTTTGTGGAGAATTTTTTCATCAATTCTGCAATGTAAATAAGTTTTCTTACAGCAAATTTAACGTTCTTTCAAGCGACACAAACCAGATTTTTCTAGTCAGTAATTCTGAAATTTATAAGCAATTAGTGGACCTACGTCGAAAAATTAAACAAAAAAAAAAACAAATCCTGAAATAACTTCTTTACTGTTGAGATTTGTACAGGGATTTATAGGAAGTTTTTTGTTGCTTATGGTGAGTAGGAACACCTCCTGTATAAAGGACTCCACTGTATAAAGTATATTAATATCGAGACAGTTTGCAACGTGAAAGTTTAATTGGTCGACTTAAATAATACAAGGAAATTGTCAATAATGTGTTCTTCTGTGTTTCTTTCATTTATATTCTTGTTTGTTAAAAGTGTAGACACATACTCCAATTTTATTCATTTTTTATTATTAATCTGTTTCTTACTGCAATTGATGCAAGAGAAAAAGTTTGAATTGGAATTAAAAACTGAAAATTGAATCAAGGTAAATAAATAAAAACCCTTAGGTATGACCAAGCCAATTTTTGTGTAAAAGGCACTTGTTTGATCTTGCAAAACCACGCAGAAACACCTCACATCTCTCGGAAAAGCAAAAGAAAAAACAAAAAACATACCAGTTAGCTAAAAAGTCTTGGACAGCGTCAATCGGCCAACAGCTGGACACGGATCGCTTGGCACCGCTCTGTCTGGGTGTTGTTACGTTTCAGATAAGATCTGCGTCCGACAACTGGAGTAAAACACAAAGTGACAGTGAGTCAAACTGTCAAAAGATAAGGAGCGATGGCCCAGAAGACGAACACTCCCCACCAATAGATTTCGTTAGACAACTGCAGACAGCAGAACAGCCGCACACACGACCTGGTGGAACCAACGAACAAACACTATCGCAATTTCCTCCAAAAATCTCTTCTCCCATTGAATTTGTAAGGACCCAGAAAGTCCATGTTAGCCCCCATTTGGCCAACATGTCTACCCTTTCGTAGCCTCTATGCCCCGAGTACCCAGGCACCCGATACTCCATCATACCCTGGTTGTTATTTTTTATTTTTAAGAAGTTGTTTTATGTCCAGGCGTCACTAAAGAAAAAGATGTTATTTCTGCTGAATGTTGTGTACTTAGGACATCATTCCTCAAAATACCGATTAAAAAATCCATCTAATATTTTAAATTATTAGTTGTTCAATCTATCAGTTTCAAGATGAAAAATTGGCCGAATGAAGCATTACAAATAGCCAGGAAAAAAATTGTTATAAGTTTATTTAGCCTTTGTTCATAACAAAACATACGTTTTTCTCTCAAATAGTTTGATGTTAGTATTAAAAAAAAAAATTAAAAAAAAAATTGTGATTGAACTTTTTATCCGGTGTTGTTTTGAACAGTTTTGTAACCTCCCCGACATTTGGCTTCTCTGGCTGACAAAATTCAAAATTCGCCGACCGTAGTTTTTGATTGATATTTTTCGACGGGGAGTCAAAATTTGGTCCGTCTCTCCTGGGATGAGAAGATGTCTGTGGAGAACATCGACCTTCTGTACAAAGCCATCAAAGAACATCACGAGGAGCGGAAGTTGGAAGAGTACCAGCTCGACGAGTCGAAGCTGAACCCGACTCTCAGGGCTTATCAGGTAGACGCCGTCAAATGGATGCTTCACAGGGAGACGGCCGAGAGGCCGGAAACAAGGATCTGCCAGGGTAACGAACGAAAATCCTAAATTTTCACTTATAACCGTTAATAATTCCTTCATGACTTGTACCTACAGAAAATTTCAATAAATGATTTCATTTACCTTTTTAGAAGAACTGTCTTTGAAAATGTCAATAACCATACTTCATCATTTCATCTTCATGATTTCTAATAATTTTTGTTTGTTAAAATAATCTCCATTGGCAATCAACAACTCTTTGTCATGAATGAATTATTCAATTAAAAATCAACTTCCTTACTTTGTCAGTTTTCAAAATCAGTTCTGCTGAAGGACTCACATGAGATGACAGCAATGAGAGAATCGAAATGGTGAAAATAAGTCAGCAGCAGCAATTATGAAAATGTCTTTGTCTTCCTGCAAAGATGGAAGCCAATGATGATTATTTCATTATTGCTAATGTTAACGATCTGGGGTGGATGGTCTTGCCTGTACTGTCCATCGAAGTTAGACTCTGGGGAAGTTATTGACATCGACAGCTAGGCCTTTCAACGCAAAATGCATGGTTTTTAACTAACACTTGCACTCACTCTCCTCCTTGGCTTCTCTCTAAATCATTCATTTATCATTCACTCACACATTCATACTCCCCTCCTCTTCTCTCTAACTCATTCAATATTCACTCACTCACACTCCTCTCTCACTCTCANGACACTCACTCACTAATTCACTCTCATTCATGCTCACTCATCCATTTATTCTTACTCTTTTCTACCTCATTCATTTTCACTCTCACTAACCCAGTCATTGACATTCACTCACTAATTCATAGTAACTCATTCATTCACATTCCCTCACTCATTCATTCACACTCTCACGAATTCTTTCATTTCCATATTCCCTCGTACTCCCCCTTTTTTTGATTTATACACATTAACTCATTTATTCACACCTTCACTCATTTATGCCAACATTCACAAATGAGTGAGCGCTCCCTCTGCCTCACCCTCGCTCCCAAATATATCTTCGCCCAGGTCTAAAAACATCTTTTGTAATTATTCAGAAATCGTGAGATGCGTTCTGGTGTGATATAGGTTTCAGAAAAACATTTTTTTTTATCGTGCCAACGTTTTGATCTTTATTGAGGTCATCTTCAGGGCCTGGGATTTATAAACATTGTTTAAATTTAACAGATACATGAAGGATGTGGAAAAAAGTGAATTTATACAATGTCTTTTCTATACCGACTTCCTTCCCCACTCCTTCAAAATCCAACATATATAAACATAAAACAGCAAAATCTCACTGGCACTCTCAACACGACATGCAAGAATGGCACAATTACACAGAAAACAAACACTTTGATTGAATATAAAAAATATATTTTGCATTGTATAAATTCACTTTTTCCACATCCTACATATATTTGTTAAATTTAAACAATGTTTGTAAATCCCAGGCCCTGAAGATGATCTCAATAAAGATCGAAACGTTGGTACGATAAAGAAAATGTTTTTCTGAAACCTACATCACACCAGAACGCATCTCATAATTTCTGAATAATCTTTGACTAACGGTCACTAATTACACACATCTCTTTTAATTATAAGCATATCTCCATAACATAATAATGAAAAAGTTGCAATGCCAAAAACATCTGACTTATAAAACAGCAAGTCTAAGCACTTGTCCAAAAGCAACCAATCCTACAAGACCTATCTTTCCTCTCACACTCATCAAGAAATCTCTAAATTTGAAACCCACACTTACCACCTGGAAAGCTTTTCTTGCAGTCTCAACCTGCTAGCTAAACCTTAACGTTCATTGAGTGTATGAAAGAAAATACAGAAGAAAAAGTATTTTCAAACACAAACAACAAACAAAACTAAATTTAGCCTTATAGTTGGCAATTATCATTCAAAACATTACTGTATTATATTTACAGCATTCTAACTGTAGTAAATTAATAGACCCCATCAGGTCACTTTGACTGTAGTAAATTAGTAGACCCTATCAGGTCACTTTGACATCTTGAAGTCCAGGCATTAGTCAATATACAGCTGGCCACAAGAGACAATTAGAAAAACTGACCAACAAAATTTTGCAAATCAAGAGTGTTTAGAACACAAGATCATGCATAAAACTCCCTTTTATCCATGGCATACAATGTAAAAACTAAAATAAATTAGTCATATTTGCTACAATAGCAGTTCTGGGATTTCCTGGCATATCCCTTGGACTTTTACTTGAGAACAATTTAAAAAATAAAATAAAGTGGTTCTGACCCTTGTTCTTGACAGCTAACGAGTTGTTTATTAAGCCCATATGACAGGGTTTTTTATTTTGACCATACAGTTAGGTTGATTGGGTACTCAATAGTACTCAATTGCCCTGTACATAAACTAAAATCTAATCTGATTGAGGGCTGATGGGCACTCAGTATTTTGACATCTGAACTTTCCGATTATACATTTCAACCAATAAAAACATACTATTATACATTTAACCCAAAATATATTATTACTTGGAACAAAAATATACTTGTCTCCTCCAAAAATTGGAACAGGGATATATTCCCTTATTGGGGAGTTCATTATCAAAGTTATTACTGATGAAAGATGGAAAAACACAGGATGTTATGTAATTATTTGCTTTAAGGTAAGGGAGGGCCGAATTTTATTTCAAGGGATTAAAGATCCCTAACGCATTAATTTTATCGGTCAGTTTTCCTAGAATGAATAACTGAATTAACTGAACAATTTCTATCCAATGTCAGTGTCTTTCATGAGCTCTGAAATCTGGATCGACTGGCAGTTCATTCCAGTTGCAGTCCCGCCAGTTAAATGAAAAATTTGGTGATGTTTCATTAAAAAAAAGAGACTACATTTATTGCAATGTACAAATTTATTTAGCTTTGAGATTTCCCCTTGGGATTTACAGAATGATGAACCATGACTATCATTGCTGTTTTGGTCTGTCATATGTGTTTTGGCTTCCTGTGCTCTGAAATACTTCAAGCTGGTTCACATCATAAGATATGCTTGTTGACTTATTAGTCCATGATTTTTTTTTCCTGCTTTTCATTTTCTACTCAAAGAGGCAAAATGCTAGCTTTTGTCACTCATTCATCCCATATTTGCGGCACCATCACACCAATAATATCTGGAAAAACTGGAGAAATAGGATGAAAGTTTTCATTTAGAAATTCCTATTTGAAAGATATTGATTTATAAGCCTCCATTAAAAATATAATTGTCAACTATTATAGCTACTGGCGAACCAGCTTTTATTTGTTGTACCTGAAATTCTCTATTGGAAATAGTTTTAAACCAACATTGTAATTATGCAGTCTTATTGCTATAATTATGTTTTTAGGGAATGTGATAGAATATCCACTTGGTGGTATATTGGCTGATGAAATGGGGCTTGGAAAGACAGTAGAAGTTCTCGCTTGCATTCTCAGCAATCGGTGCCCAGAGGATATTGATAACACGATCAACATTTTGCCACAGCCAGTATTGGGAAAGAGAAAAACTATAAACAATAATTTTACTGTTGGAAAGAAAAAAAGGTGCAAAGTTCAAAAGCAGGAGGACAATAAGAATCAAAAGAAAAGTGGGTTTATGAGTGAAAAATATACTGCATTGCGTATGTGGTACGAAACTATCCTCTCCGGCCAGACTAATTACTCCACTCCCGAGGAAGTCAGCCTTCAGTGCTTCTGTACGACGACCCCCGAATCTGAGACAATCGAGTGTCTCGAGTGCGGCACTGAGCAGCACACTGTCTGTGTCGGTGTGACAGCAGATTTTGAAAATTACATATGCCCCAAGTGCTGGTCAAAAAAGGAGCCGATAAAATCTAGAGCAACGTTCATTGTATCGCCATCCTCAATTTGCTACCAGTGGATCACTGAGGTAACGTCTCTTCTGATATATTTAGGAAAACATTTTGGCATTCGATGCCTTTTGTTGTTTATAGATAAAGAAGCACGTAGGTGACCCTGACTTCAAAGTTTGTGTATATGAAGGGATCAAAGGAAGGAATTATATTCAACCAGTCGATCTTGCCGACAATGACATCGTCTTGACTACCTATCAGGCATGTAAAATTTTTGTTTTGAATCATAAATTGTACACATTTAAAGCATGAGCTTTTAATTTAAATCATTGCCATATAATAAATATATAGTAAAACAAATGAACTATCTTAGTTAAACCGTGACAATTTAATTTTGCAAGTTGGTGAACCTGTTGCGAGACAAAACTAGCAATTATAAGCAGACATGGTGATGATCATTAGTGATCATATGCCATTATTGTATTGTCACATTTCATTGTAATATCTGTGAATAATTTATTGAATCAACATTTTAAAATTCAAATTTTAAATATTTCTCCCATTATAGTAGAGTGATTAAAGTATCAAAATAAAAACAGCAATGTCTCGATCTTACATGTTTATTACATTTGCTTCAGGTGTTGTGCAAGGAACTGGATTATTCCCTGGAAGAGAATACACAGCGGAAGCTGCGACATGCGAAACGCTACCATGCCCCGGTCACACCACTGACCTGCATTTCGTGGTGGAGGCTCTGCTTAGATGAGGCACAGATGGTCGAGGGGAGCACATCCAAGACGGCGATGATGGTCCGTTGCCTAAATGCCAAGTATCGCTGGGCCATCACTGGGACCCCTATTCAAAAATCCCTGCAAGGTGTTTAAAATTATCAACCGAACCAAAGTAGATAACGTCTTAAATTTATTTAAAATCTACAGATTTGTTTGGCCTAGTTCAGTTCTTGAGGATCCAGCCATACGACAACTTGTCCAACTGGAACTCACTGGTGGAAGAGGAGCACGAGTTCCATGGATTCATCTGTCCTGTCATGTGGCGCAACTCGAAGAAGGACGTCTTCCACATGCTACAGATACCACCACAAACGACCGTAATGCACATGATACACTTCAGCCCCGTTGAAGGCTACTTTTACCAGAGTATGCACAACGAGTGTTCGCAGGCCTTCTCAGCGAAACTAAGCAAGTATGGGCTCTAAGAAATTCTATACCTTGTGGTAAGTATCATTATTCATTTTTCTGCTTGGAAGATTCCCAGATCGCAACACTCCAATAAAGGCCCTTGATAGACAGTTGGTCAACAGGACTTTGCTCCCTATGCTCAAGCTCCGCCAAGCCTGCATTCACCCACAAGTATTTATCATTACTGAATAAAAATATTTAAACGCATAGATTTAAAAAAAAAAATCAGCTGATTTTTTTGAAGCCATTCTTTTGTTTCTTTTGATACATTAATCCTCATAAACATGGACGATTTCTCAGCTGGCAGATCTAAGATAATATATTTTTAATTTAATATTTTTCCATCTTTTTAAACTTTATTGAGCTAATGCTTATTACACTGTGATCATATAATGAATATAAAATATGACAAGTAGTAAAGACAAATGGCCAATGGCTTTCCTTAATCAATAGTTTGTAATAATTATTTCATTTACTTTATTTATTTGGATGTAGAATTTAAATTACAATTTTTTATACATTTCTACTGAACTATAGAAGTGCCAAGTACTTATTTATATTTTTATTGATTTGTAATATAAAAACTATTATTGTCAGTTGGGGGAGGAAAAATAAAACACAATAGCCTATTTTGCCAATTTACCAAATAAATTTACTACAATTTTTCCACTTGTTTTGTATTTTCAGTCCAATTTCGATTAACTGACAACCCACATCAGTTTCTATTAACTGTTTAGTCATGAACACTCTGTATCATGGTATGGTGATATATTCTATCTTGAAGAAAAAAGCAAATTCAGTTGTTACTGCTAAGCTTTCAACCTATTTTAAAGTATTTTTATTTAGAAATCGTGAGATGCGGTCTGGTGTGATGTAGGTTTCAGAAAAACATTTTCTTTCTTTCTTCTAATCACCACACACACTATTTTAAAGTCATCATCAGAGGAAAACAATCTTAAATATGAATTCAGATTGACCTATTTAAGTTTTTTACAGGGGATCTTGAATTTCCTTTGCACTTTCCAAATTTCCACAAGTGTTGCAGTACTGATAGCTGGATTCAGCCTATTTCAAATTTCTGTCCAGAAATACAAACTTAAAGAAATTAATATTTGACTAACGATATGTAAATAAAAATTATTTTATTGACCTTTAAGGCTTTGGAATAATCACAAAAGATGTTGAAATATTTTAATCAATAGTTAATACTCATTTGAAAAGCTGTCACACTAAAGTTTTTTGTTTTTGAAAAAAGCCCGTTTGTAAGTATGCCGGGTTTGAATGCAGGGCTGCTGGATTCGAACCCGGGACCTTTACCTTACAATGATGAGCGCCGGGTCAATGCCTAAATCGTTGCGGCCACCGATGCCCCACAGTAAAGGCTTTTTTTTTTGGGGGGGGGGCTTGGCTTTGATGCATACAGCCAGGACACCACCCGCCCAACCCTCACGAGCCAATCAAAGCCACTCCCGGGAAGAGACCTAGAGCGCTTATTAGACTTATTTTTTTACGTTTGGGAACTCCGCCCTCTCTTATGGGTGCATTGGGAGGATATAGATAAAAACCACTTGCATCGCTTTATAGCGCTGTGGAAAAGTCCACATCCTACCCGCAACCCGGGGCAAAAGGCGTCCTGAGCACTACACTCCTCCTCCCGAGCGGGCAGCCCTCCCGGACATCGATTATAGTTTGAATAGTCTATATATCTACTCTGCTATTTTGCAAGAACTCAAAAATAAGTCTGTGTATAACACCATTGCCTGATGCTAACAAGGTTTCATAGCTAAAAGGCTTAATCACTTCCCTCTGCCGGAAGATCCGTTTTAAAAGGTTCCCTCTTTCTGTCTCATATTCAGTACAGAAAAAGACAATATGTTTTCTGGCTCATTACATGTGGAGCACTTTGGCGACGGCTTAAGACCAATTTGATGCAAGTAGGATCCACAAAGTAAAGTTTAGTTTATACATTGTTTGCGTGGAGATGATTCCGCTTTGTAAAAGTGTACCGAAATTTGCATTATATTGAATCAGAGGGGAGTAGAAGTTAAACTCTCCTGTATGTAGTTTTTCGGAGGATTTACGAAAGAGGTCAACACAGAGAAAAAACTTCCTTTCAGTTTTCGCCGAGCTTTCGACAGTTTTTATACTGTCATCTTCAGGGCTTTAACCTTAGTGGGGAAATAAAAAGAACATGGTGTCGTGGGCACCGAAATACATTCCATTTTTTTTTGGTGCTCAGCATCTCATAAAAGTCTAAAAACTAAAAGTAAACCACCTTTTGCTTTCAGGTACATGCGATCACAGCGTGTTTCTTATACATATATATAATTAACTTTTCTTACATTTAAAATATTCTACATTAAGATCACAGATTAAAAACAGACCCTCTTCGACAAGAGGACAAAGGCTCCGGGAAACGCCCCCGACAAAATGATCATCATGCGAAAACTGAAAGGAAGTTTTTTTCTCTCTGTGTTGACCTCTTCCGTAGATCTTCCGAAAAACTTCATATTTCCAGCAGGTCGATAACTCAGCTCATCGTTACATCTCCTGTATGTGTATAGAGCATAAGTTATTTTAATGAACTTTAAGGGGGAGCATAACTTGCCTAATGATTTTTTTTTTTTTTTTTGTTCCTGTGAAATAAAATATGAGTATGTATAGTGGTGTATTTCAAGCTTTGGTTATTTACGATTTTTCTGACTATGTGCAAACTGTTCTAGTCCTAACTGAAGCTTAATCACATGTTTAAGCAAAATAATTTTTTTTTTTTCACTTTTTAATTTTGCATTAAGTAGGTACTCCATTTTAATTTTTCTGAATTATACATAATTCATAATTTGCCTTAGGTTATATCAGGCAAATATGGCAAATTCAAGCATACCATGACAATGGAGGAACTTATGAATGAAATGGTGACAAAAGCCAAATTAGACGTAGATACGGCCCTTCGCTCGTTGGTTTCCTCACTCAATGGTTTAGCGGCCATTTATCAGATTGAGCAAGACTTTGGCGGAGCAGTTACGATTTATCGCCGTGTCCTCAGCACTGCAGAAGAATACAAGCATGTTTCTAAAGTTGACACTCTCCAGGTATAATCATATTTTATAATTGAGATTTACACGTTCAGTGCTGGTTACCCGCATGAAGGTCATACTGAAGCCACCAGATGTATGACCTCCAGGTCACACGCTGTCCGGAAAGGTGAAAATTGAAAAACCTGATCACCTTATATATTTCATCACTTATAACAACAAATTTCCTATTATGAAATTATAAATTTGAAGCTGTTTCAATTTGTATATTGTTTAGATGATACATACTCTCCATAATCTTTCCGATCTCCTCGAAGAGCATGGTGCTGGAACTCACGAGTCATTAAGACAGCAGAAAAACGAACTGGAAGAGACATATCTGAAGAAAAGCGAACAATGTGTAAGTGATTTTTAATGTAACTGTTTAAACAAGAGCAAGAAAAATTTAATCAAATGTGAACATATTTTAGTTAATAAACACAAGAATGACAGTTACAAAGATGACTGCATCGATAGAAAGCCAGTGTGACGGACGGACTCTTGGATTCACCGATTGGTGGGAGAAGGTGATTAACTGGGCTGATAGTGATGAACTCCTCACCAAGATTAACACTCACCTTGATGATGGAATACTCTCAGGCAAATCCTGTTTATCCAATAAGTATGTAGCACAATACTAGTTTTTATTTGGTCAATAATTTATTTTATTGTGTTTTATTAAGGTTGAAAAATATGCCAGCTGTCCATAGAGAAGTAGCGATCTGGCTCGCGAACGCCGATACTGCCAGGGTAGACTGTATAGCCGCCTTGAAAGCCTTGAACGAAGTACCAAAGGAGTATTTATCCGGAATGGCTCTCTCGTGCCATTTAGGCCAAAAGGCTCCTAACAAAAAAAACACGTAAATCCTAACAAGTCTTATCCACCTTCGACCCTTGAGTCTTTACTTTTTCCATTGTTTCAGTAAATTGTGCCAGATATGTGAGGTGGACAAGATGCTAAAAAAGTACGAGTCGTGTATTTTTTCGGTAAAAAAGCAAAAAGCAAATTATTTGGGAGACGAGGAGGAACTTAAATCAGCTGGCATGACGAACAAGAATATCCTTGAACTGCAAAATGTCCAGATATTCGAGACAAAAAAGGAAGGCAATTGGAAGCCAACTCAACACGAAAGAGTTCTTCATGGTATGTCATCCAAATATACATGTATTTTTTGCATGCAAATTTGCAAACCACGGGTGTTGAAAATCAGAAACATAAACAAAAATGCATCATCAGGCTATGAAATATATCATTTTTATTTTTTCTGGAAATAAAATAACCAACCCGAGTTATAGGTGTCAATTGCTCAGTGGAGAACTTTAGTAGTAGTAAATAATGGGTGTCACACTTTTTTCCAGGGAATAGTGACCCTAGATAGCCTCTGTCTGGCTGGCAACAACAAACTAAGGCTTGAAAGAAAATTTGAAAGACAAAATAAAATAAACAGAAACTTTTATTAACTACAAACAAAACATTAACACTCATTCATAACTTAAAACTTAAATCCCTGTAGTCCAACTCACATTAAAAAATCAATAAATAAAATTAAAAAACTAATAATAATAAAATAATACATATATCTTGCTAAAATAAACAAAACTTAACTTATGAAAAAACTTAAAGTCTGACCTGATTTTCACCATCACACTTGACGCTTGGGTTCCTCTGTGAAGAAAAAAAAAGAAAAAGAACTCAGTGGTTTCTACAGTTTCCTCGGACTCCCTCGAGGTCCTCTGGAATTCCATGATCTGTTTTAAACCGTATAGAAAGTCTGGAAAACAAAATTTTTTCCTCTTAGGCCTAGTATGCACTGGGATTCTTTGAGTCGACTCTCGGCTGCGTCTAGCCTGAGTCCAGGCTGCCCCGACTCATTGTTGCGATGAATCTGGTGTGTTGCGGGCCTGCATTTTTGGACTCTTTTGAATCCCATCCGATGTGGGATTCTTTGACTCAATGTTGCACAACATTTGCCAGTGCGGACGTGAATCGGAACAAGCGCTCTTGCTTCATTTGTTTAGTTGATGTTTTAGTGAGTGTTTTCTTGAAGATTGTAATACTGTCCGGTATGTTGTGGAGTACCGAGTTGTCTTTACAGTTTATTGAAGACATGCATTTCCATCGGTGTTTGTGGTTTTCACTGAGTACAGAAATCGGGAATTGAAAAGCCAAACATTGAACGGTTTAACCCAAAAATTCAGTGTTTCCGTCACCGAAATTGAAAAAAAAAAAAATGCACACTTTAAAAGGACAGTTTTTTAATGCACTTCTGATTGGATGCACTATGTACAATGCAAAAAAGAGCAAGGGAAATTCCTGAGACCTAGTTCCTCTGTCATTTTCGCAGGCACTTATGAATGTGAACTGAATCTTGGTTTGGACCCGGTTCTTTGTCGCGGAGCAGAGTCGTGGCTGCATCTACGAATGAAGGAATCTACACAGCCCCGACTCTGCCCCGCAACATGAATCTCAGTGCGTGCTAGGCTTTATAAGTGTCCTCTCTAGCCAGTCCTCGGCGCTTCTACTCTTAATTCCCCTGGCAGGGCTTGAGCCGCTCACCTCATTTCCTATCCTATACAACATTAATCTTAGAATAGGAAATAATATTTAAAACAAAAATTAATTTACTAATTTATCAATGAGCAACAAAATTCTTAATTAAACTCCCTTATTAACTACTGACTATTTTGTATATCATTGTATAAATTCATTTTCACATCTTACATGTATTTAAACAATGTTTATAAATCCCATGCCCTTAAGATAATCTCAATAAAGATTGAAGTGTTGGCACGATAAAGTAAATGTTTTTTTAAACCTACATCACACCAGAATGCATCTCACGATCTCTAAATAGTCAGAGAATTAATGGTCACTAAATACTACACACCTCGCTTATAAAGTTGTACCTGTATGCCCAGGTCTTTCTCAAAAGCAATTAAAGGTTTACAGAGCCGAGGGCTTATCAAATCTCTGACAATTGCTGGACCAGCAAAAGAGCTGGTGAAATTTGGCCTGCATAGGGCATTCACAAAGGAAATGATGAAGATCCTCCCTGGCATTCAAATTGTAAGTAGAACATCTTTCCCTGAGAAGATTCTTCCTCAACCAGGGCAAATAATTTAACAAATAGTAATTCCCCTCTTAGCTTGAAAAATCATCTCAATTGTCAAAGATTCAATCCAGAGTCACTGCAGCCAAAAAACACAACTCCAAAAGGGTTCTATATATAAAAAAGTGCTCTGACTGCATCGCCATCCTCACAGACGCCTCCCAATGAACTATTATTACTTCTTCTGTAAAAGTAAGGAAAGCTGTCTTATATTGTCTTTGGAAAGATCAAACTCACAAGAGTAATTGCAAACCAAGATATCCCAGGAATCAAACCAATGGGCCCTATGCCTTACCACCTCCCGGCTACATCATTTACCTATCAATGACCTGGAAGTGACAACACCTTCAAACAAAATGTAAAATTCAGGTGTAATGTATATACGAAAATTGGTTCAACAGAGGATATCACTCCCGTGATTTGAAATTAAAAGAAAACCAAACTGAAAATAACTTTCAACCCTTAAAGTAAGTTCACTAATTTCGTGGTCCGCTTGACCAATTAATATATTACAATTAATTAAGGTTTTTAGTTGAGTTAAAAAAGCCAATGCCACGAGCGGGATTCGAACCCGCTAGATACGCTGTTGAGATGGGAAGTTGGTGTCCGAGTGGATCGATGTCACGATAGCTCAAGTGGTAGAGCAGCAGCATATCTAGCCGAAGATCGTGGGTTCAAATCCCGCTCGTGCCATTGACTTTTTATCTCAACTAAAAACCTTAATTAATTATAATATATTAATTGGTCAAGCGGACCACGGAATTAGTGAATTTAGAGGATTCAATATTAACCATATAAGTAGGGGTGTTTGTAGGAAGTGAATGTGTCAGTTAAAAGTGGTTCCAACATTTTCGTAATGGAGAGAGATGAATAAAAGACCACTCGTGGAATGGCTCACGAGCTTAAAAAACTCTGTCATTATAGGTTGGGGATAAATTAAATATACTAGAGCTATCGGAGAGATTTAAGATGCATTGCATAACAATAGAAAGAAGAATCCAATGTCTGGGTTACGTTGTGAGACTCAGTGGTCACGGAAGAAAACATGGTTTTGATTGGGATTCAGGTTGTGGTCTTCAAACATACAATGTTATTATATCAACGCCCAAGCTTTCGACAAGTTTTATTGCCTTCTTCAGGGGATCTACAGAGATATAGGGACATAATCATTTAGACAGTTATAAATTAATTAATTAATTAATTTTGAATTTCACATCAAATTTCTTAAGAAATATGTTGATGACTTGTTTTTGATTGTAAAAAAGAGTGAGCTGGTGGACATTTTGAAGGCGTTTAATTCTTTCCATCCGTCGCTACAATTTACGCAAGAAACTAAGGTGGATGGGAAACTTCCTTACCTCAGTTGGCACTATGTTATGGAAATACTTATATCTTTTGAAAAACGATACATTTATATTTTGAAAGTTTGAATTTTTTTCTGAAAAGTGAAAAACTTATGCTCACATCCAATACACACATATATTACAAGTTAACATTTTTTTAATATAGCTTCTTTCATAGAAAAATGACATATAAAAGTGGAATTTATTAATTATATTATCACTTTTCACAGTGCTGCAGGGCTATACAAAACTAAAAAAAGGCCCCACTCCATGGATTGAAGACTCCATCAAACATTTAGCAATCCTGGAAGCAGTCCGGAAAGAATTTAAGTGGCTTCGTGCAGAATGGAGGCATTTATCCAACTCTGTAATTTAGATAATTAATATAACATTATTCCTTATTTTTCGCATTGATAACCTGTTTGTTAAAGGTGAGTGCGAGAGATGAACTGGCGATGGCAAAACTGCGTCTGCGTCTGCCCACTCCTGAGGAGCTCAAGGAGAATAAGAGTTTGAAAAAGAAATCAGATTCGATTTACGTCATTCATGCCCACGAAGTAAACAAACTTATAAGAATAAATCCCAAACAGGAATAACATTGTTTTTATAACAGGTTCCCATTGAAAATGCCAATCTCAAAATGACCTCAATTATGTCCGAGGCCAAGCTGAAGAGGAACTGCGGTATCCTCCTCTATCTTAAGAATTTGCAGAATAATGTAAGCAACGCTGTTGACGTGTGTCCAGTTTGTCAAGATCACATTCAAGAAAAGGTAGTGTTTATTTCTAATGCAAAGATAAAATATATTAGCTTTTTTATTTTTTCATTTTAGTGGTCTGTTTTACAATGTGGCCATTGGCTCTGTTTTGAATGCATTCCCACGATGCTCAAGATGTCGCACAACAGGCACGTGGAATGTCCTGTGTGCAGGTTGAAGAGCGAAAAGGCTGAAATTGCATTCGTGGCAGGACGGAACAAAACGCATCCTGAGGGCGAAGTAAAAATTGAGGGCTCATATTCGTCCAAAGTCAGGTCTGTCATCATCGAGCTTATGAACTTGATAGAGGCAGACCCGACAGTTAAAGTCCTTATTTTCTCATCAGTGAGTTAATTCTTTTGTATAGATTTCATGTTATGATGGAACTTTTCATATGTTAGAACACAGTGTTAAAAATCAATAAACACAAAAGTAATTGTCAATTAATTATATTGTTTTTTCTTGTCTTAGTGGGATAAAGTGCTTGACGTCATCGGAGAAGCATTACAGGAAAATTCCATTTCGTTTAGGAGGTTGGGGACTTCCGCAAAGCTTAAAAACTCTTTGACTCAATTTAAGGCAAGTATTTACTTTCCAAGTTTGCACTATTTTTTGAGCTGGAATGGAACAAATTCAACCGGTTGGTGCAGTTTTCTTAACCCTTGAGTCCACGCGTCTTGTTAATTAAAATATGTCTGCACACTAGTGCACTTTATGTACCAACTGATTTTTTCCTTTTTTTCCCATAAAAGTCATGATTTTTATATATTTATTCCTTTTTAATTTTTTGCCCAAATATAAGATTTCATATGTTATTGGATATTAAATTATTAATATTGCTATTTTAAATTGTTAACATCATGTGTAGATACTGTTGCACTCACTTTACTTCGTCCAATTTCTTGGGCTCTGGTTCCTCTTCAAAAATCTTCAGAATTTCCTCAGGCAAAAATATCTTCTTTCTCTAAACAAATTGAGTATAAACCTCAGCTCGAACCAAAATGAATAAAAAGTAGGTAATAATATCAAGTGATACGAACAAAAATACTCTGTTTGACCTAATAACACGTGACAGTGTAGAAAGCGCGGCAAATGGAAATTAACAAAAAACTGATTTATAGCGAAACCTGTTTAAAACTATGAAATTTGCAACTTTTTCACAATAATAAGAATAATACCGAGTATCTTGGTAATGATGGAAGACCCTTCGGACAGATGTTCTGGGAATGTTAAGCACCCTGGCCACACACGCTTGACTTCTTCCACATTGCTAACGCTCAAAAATGTTATAACTTAAAAAAATCAAACCACCGAAACATTAGCAAAAAAGGTTTACCGAAAATAGATTGACTATTCAAAGATTTATTAACAAAATCCAATTGTAAACACAAATGGGAGATTTTATATGAGGTTTATTTACCTCTAAACCCTTAAAACAGACCAAATATTGTAAGATGTACCATGGAAGGTTGTCTAAGAGTAATAATAATAATAATAATAATAAATATTATGGGTGGCTACTGTTTTTGCCTCCTAGCGAATAGTTTATCACAAAATTTTTATATAACTAATTTTATCTTAATTAATCTTAATCTTATATATAATTAGATAATTAATTACAAATAATTTGTTTTCATTCAATTTGGAACATCAAAAAAATTACGATTAATTAAGGTTTTCAGTTGAGATAAAAAAGTCAATGGCACGAGCGGGATTCGAACCCACGATCTTCAGCTTGATACGCCGCTGCTCTAACACTTGAGCTATCCCATCTCAACCGCACCTTTTGAATTTTCCCTCCTTTTTGCCATTTTTCAAATGTCGTGTAATCGGATTGGATTCTCGGTGACAAATGAAATGGCCAAGGAGAGCTTTAGAGAAGTGTATCAAGCCGAAGATCGTGGGTTCGAATCCCGCTTGTGCCATTAACTTTTTCATCTCAACTGAAAACCTTAATTAATTGTAAGATATTAATTGGTCAAGCGGATGACGAAATTAGTGAATTAAAAAAAATCAATTATCCTGAGTTGAAATTAAAAACAAATTGGTGTTTCTCTTACACACAGCTAGGTTTTCTGTAGGTGGGATACACGGGATATGTTCTGTAAAGATGATTTTCTTTTGGTAACAGCATTTTCATTTTCCCAGTAGTTCATTAAATTGGAATGACTGTCATATGAAAATATTGGAGAAATTTTTCTTCATCATCAACTAAGTGCCTACATTATATACTACTACTATATGCCTTTATTCTTTAATATATATACAAAGTTTACAAATCGGCTGTATATATTACAGAGCAAGAAAGACGTTCCTCATAGTTTAAAACAGTCTGAGGGAGTCTTGCACATAAACTTATATAAGTAAAATCTCTCTTCTTAGCATTTACAAGTAATTATAATTAGTATTTTCAAAAGGAATATATACTTTTTTCAAAAATTTCAGTAATGTAATAATAGAGCATAATTATATAATAATAGCTGAAACATGATTGCAAATATATACATCTCTTATTTATGATTACCTATAATGCACATAACTCAATAATAAAATAAACTAAAGTAAAGTAAATGGAAATAATAAACGTAAAAATAAATAATAATGAAGTACATTATCTACCACAAGAAATAATAGTAAAAACAAAACAATAAATGTTTAAGATACAATATTCAGGTCGAAGATGAGCTTTTCACCTATTCTAGGGAATCTGACAAAAGAAGAAAAGCCTCTTTGCAGAAATTTACCAACACAATCCAATCCTTACCATTAATATATTCTAGCAGAATCTCACTAGACAGAGTTTCCCTATCAAAATATTGTTTCCTGACAGCAGCCAGTGCAGGGTAAATTGCCAAGAAATCCTCCCGCTCTGTTCCACTACAAAGTTCACAGTTAATATCCTGCTGCTTGAAGTGTTTGTAGTTTAAGTTAAACGGATCCCCCCCCCCGAATTATCCACTATTTCTGAGATTCATTAATCCAGTAGAATCACAGTTGCTTCTTTTTCCACCTGTTCTGTAACCAAAATAATGGCAAACATTGACAATTCTCGTAGAGATAGGTTCCTAATAACCGTATATTATTTTTAAGAAAATTCAAAACACCATAAGTTCACAATCACATTGTTGTGTTCTCTCGGTGAAGTGTCTGCAAGAAATGTACATCGACCAGAACATGTTGTAAACAGGTATAAAACGTTTTTAATCCGTTGAAGTTGGCATAGTAGTGGTTGGAACTCTTCTCGTTTTGGTATGGTGTGCACATTTGTTCGATGTCAAGCGCGCGCCATGTACAGTCACACAGTATCATAATCACATCACCTCTTTTGTTCTTAATGCATTATTTTGAGCAAAATCATGTAATAAATTGTTATTTAAATTTTATGAGCACAACCATGTAACAAATTGTTAAATTTAATTGTTTTAAATAAAGTTATTCCGGTATTGTGGTAAATTTTCTGCCTAACCATCATAATTAAATAATTTTTATAAAAACTCGTGAATTTTTGATCTCATTTAATTTGGTTTACATTAAAATAAGCATGTTGTAATTAATATAATGACAAAATTACATATACATAGTTTGAAATAACCAAAAAAAATATGAGTCGACAAAAATGGAGTAATTTTTGTGAGAAAAACCATGTAATGAATTGTTATTTGAATTTTATGAACAAAACAATGTAATAAATTTTTATTATTTAACAATGTAATAAATTGTTAGTTAAATTTGAGCAAAACTGTGTAAATTTTAATTAAATATTAGGAGCAAAACATGTAATAAATAGTTAAATTAAACCAATAAATGATATTACACTGTTTTGATAAATTTACTGCTAAACCATTAAAATTACTTTTTAAAATAAAAACTAATGAATTTTTGATCTCGCTTAATTTGGTTTATATTAAAATAAATATGTTTTAATTAACATAACAACAATAATACATATAGTTTGAAATAAAAATATGAGTGTCTGGTTTTTTGTTTTTGACTACTCGATGCTACTCGATGAAAACCTGGATACTAAGGAACTTGGTTGCACCGATTAGCATAGAGTAGGGTAGCGTTACATGGCATCGGGCAGATGTGTATGGGGGTAATACAATCTTATAAAAAATTGGACATAGTATATGCATCGGGTTGCGTTGGTTAAGCGTGTTCCCTGCTTTATACTTGTAGGTTTTTTACTAACAGTCAAGATTTGATATTTGTTCATCTACAGTGGTTGGTTTTTGGTACATACAGCTGGAGAGTATAGATAGCCCAGGACGGTCATCTACAGTTTTATCACATCGCAGACCTTATTAAAACAACCCATATAACTTTTTTTGGGGCTGTCAATGTAAATGATGTTTGTATTAATCTAATGAAATGTGATTTACAGACAGGTCCGGTTTCAGCACTGCTGCTTCTCCTCAGTTCTGGGTCGAAAGGTCTCAACATAATCGAGGCGACACACGTCTTCCTCGTCGAGCCCATCCTGAATCCAGCAGACGAATTGCAGGCGGTAGGGCGTGTCCACAGAATCGGGCAGACGAAGTACCCTTTTTTTAATGCAATTTACCTCTCCTCAACATTTTTTAACATATTTACAATTGCAGGCCTACATTTATCCATCGGTTCATTATACACAATACAATCGAGGAGAGAATGCTCAGCTCTGTCGACAGCAACACCTGGGCCGATGGAAATGTCACCCTCAATGAGCTGTTCGGCCTCTTTCATCTCAGAGATGAGCACACAAACGAAACAAATACAATCGATGCTCAAAATGAGTGAGAAAACTGGAAACAATAAATAAGAATAACAACCCTTGTAATATGTTGTTTTTCATTTAAGAAAAGTCTGAAAGAAAAAATATAAATCAAAAAGTACTTTTCGATGTTAAATCATTTTGTTTGTAAAAGTGGTATAATTGATAAAATGGTTTCTTGAATTATATTTAGGTATTATTTACCACCTATTGTTTATAGGTTGAATTGCTGTGTGCATGTTGTAACATATGCCATTCAATAATAGTGTATACATCCCGGCAACTGTGATTTATAGACATTTAAGTCTTTTGTGATCTATTATAATTACTGTATAAAAATAAAAATTAAAATTAAAAAAGCTGTTTTAAAAGATAGCGGAACAATCCTTGTTAAATGCAAGGAGCATGGGTTTATAGGACCATTTATAGGACTATTCCCATCTTTTTAAAGCAGTAATCCACCAAAGAATCTACTCATTGTGGCCGTTTAAACTTTCTGTAATATTAGTTTTGTTATCGTACATATTTTTTTAAATGTCAATATAGATATGGGGCAAGTATGTTGAAACCAACCCAATCATGCTCCAAATTATTAATTTTTGTTTTTTTACTTAATAAATTATAAAATTTATTCTACAAATGTACTCTTAGAATTTTTGTATAAATAATACGTTTTTCAATAAACAATTACATTGAAGCATTGATTTTGTATTCATTTATGTGGGGACTGCGGTGGCTAAGTGGTTAGGGTACACAACTCGTATTTACCACGCTGAGGTCCTTGGGTTGAATCCTAGCATAATCCATCGCTTTTTAATTGAATATAATGTGCAAATATTACCACTCCTCTTCCATTTTTAGTTGATTGTCTTCCCTTCAATTATAGATTTGGTCAAATAAATAGTGAACTTCTTCAACCCAGATATAAAAAGTATAATTAATTAATTTATTAAATTAATAATTATTAAAAAAACAGGAGTATTAAAAACATTGGTTGAAGATGTTCACTATTTATTTGTCCAAATCTATCATAGAATAATACGAAAAAATATGGTAAAGTGGTTTGATCCTTTGTCCGTGACCCCCACCGTGTAGTTGGACACCCTGTATCACGGGAATTACTTTACTTACTTTTTCATTTAAGCTTTTTTGTTTGTTTTTGATTTTCTTTTAATACAGTATTCAATATTTGTGCTGAGCACTACTGCTGTGGGCTAAGCCTGTTTAACATATATGTTTTGTTCGCAATTATGTTTTTCATATTTGATCTTATTAGGTATGTCGTAAATGTACATCTCAAGTACACTAGTACAGTTTTCTACGTGCATCCATTAATCTGCTAAGTACCATCCCTTTCTTCCTTTAAATATCATTTCGTTGATTACCTTTGTCCTTATGCCTTTTTTCCTCTTCCTCATTTGGAATTGGTTTTTAATTAATGGAATTATTAGGACATACCAATTTGTTTACAATGTTCAAAGCTCTAAGATCAAGGTCTAAAGGGTATAAAGGACAGAAAGGTGCAGCACAGGGATTTCTGTTTGCTCCTTTTCATGAACTAGCAATGGTGACAAGAACATTTTATTCTCCGCCACTTCCAGAAGAAAAATTATTGCTCCGAGTTTTTGTTCTGGTGTCCTTCGGCTTGAAACCTGTCTTGTGGCACGTTTTTATATACATTATGCAAGGTGGGCGACCAAGACACGAGGGGTTAAATGCCTGGGTAGACTCGTACTCCATCCCTAAAGGTCCAGGACTTGGTCGGCTCACGTGTCCTGCATAAATCTCTTGTACCTGTTCACAAACCCCAAAATTTTGGACCATTTAATCTCAGGGAGTGATTTGGTGATGTCCTCTCATTCAGAGATTTCAAATCTGGACCTAGCATACCTATCACACTCTGTGAGGTAGTGCCTTGCCATTTCTTCTTTTATTTCGCAAAAATGGCAAAAAGGATCTGGTAGGATACCCATTACGGAGAGGTGTCTTCTTAGTGGGCAGTGGCTCGTCAGGATACCTATCAGCCTCCTAATTCCCTTCCCTGAGATAGAGAATAGCCATTTCGATTCTGCTGGTCTGATCGCCTTAACAAACTCTTTCGATTGCCTGTGTCCAGGGGATAAATTCCACTCCCTAAGGAATTGTTTCATGCCCCAGTTATTAATACTCTCTTTCGCTATGCTTCTAGAGTGAGGTATTCCGGTAGTGGCCTGACAAACGCAGTATTAGAACCTTCTTTGGCTAGGCCATCCGTCTTTTCATTGCCATGGTGTCCTTTATGTCCTGGTATCCAAATAAGGGTTACCTTGTTCTCAAACCTGAAAGAGATCCTATTGATAAGATCTACGGTTTCCTCCACCAGTCGTGAGGTTGACAAATCTTTTTGTAATGACCTAAGACTAGCCTGACTGTCAGAAAAATTCTAATAAATTTTCTGTAATAAACTGCTGGACTACTTTACAGTGATGGGCGCCTTGTCAACATCTAAACCATTGAGGCCACCGACACCCCTAGACAAGTTTTACTGTTTATTGCAGTTAATATCTAGTTTTAATCTATTCTTTTTATATAATATTAACTTTTTATATTCTGAATTTTTATTTGTGTTTTTTGGTACTTATGACTATTCCGTCATGTGACCCGTTTGAACTGCAATCAAATAAATCAATTTTCTTTCTTTATAAAACGAATCTTCGTTGTCATTGCTCTCATTTCTGTCGTCAATCTGGGAAAAGGTCTATGCAAGAATAATCTGGGTCTTGGTATGGTCAATGAAAAACCAATTCAACCTGCTAAGCTTCTTTATAAAGAGAACTACGGCTTTCTTTGAAGATCTGCTGTTTCAGCTTCTGTTGCAATAGTTTTTTGAAATCATCTTTAATAAATCAATATCCAGGCAATTCATTATTTCAACACAGAAAACATTGATGAAATCTGGGAGAGCATAGGCATATAGGCCATAGAACAGACAGTTTCATAAAATAGCTGATTCCATTTGTCAAGAAATCGACTCACGCAGCGCGTTTTTTGCATAAACCATTGATATACCAGTAGATCGGCGTTGGATAATTTATTTTTCTTGGTTTATCTTGCTTATTATACGTCTGAAAGGCCAGCACAGCGAAGACAGCAGACCAAAATGATCTGCAGCGACCAAATTTAAGGTTCATCACCTCGCAGACAACACGGAGAGTATAAATACATTTTTTTCTGTTTTTTGGCGCGTATGTAGCTTATTTTGATGTTTAATAATGAATAAATGCATCAGGCAGGCAGGATGAAAAATAAAAGACAAAACAGATTAAAAAAAGTTAGTTTAGGGACAATGACCGAGAATCAAATTATTTTACAGAAAACCAACATGAACCTTCAACTACAGACAAGCTATGAAACCATTACACAATGTACACAAAGAGTAAAACAAGAACATTTATAAATGCACAAACACAATAGAGTTAGAATTTAAAAACTCATAAACACACTAATTAACATTAACAACACTAACACAGTTCACAATCATCGTTTACACCATTCAAAATAGCTACACTAATTAAAATATAAGACGACCACGAAAGACCGATTGGAGCAATAAAAAATGTACCAAAAACAAAGATAGCGACTCAATCCACCACGACCTTATAAAAGAAACTTGACTTCACAAAAATTACGCAGACTCAATGAAGATGGCGAAAAAACGAAACAAGTATGACAGACCCATCCAGCGAGACTAAGCAGACCAAAATTGGCCAAATTTCAGATCATCACCCGTTATACTACGCGGAGAATATAAATTCGTCGATTTTTTTCGGTTTATCTCTCTTATTTTGTTTATGAGCTTAATTTTTGACCCAATCGACTTAGCAGGGCCCTATTGAAGCGAGTCTAAATTTTTGAAAGTATAATACTATAGAGCATTTAAAAAAGCAGTGAATATTTGTAATAATAATTTTTATTTTCTGGCAAGCTATTGACAATGGAATTATATCAGCCCCTAATGCACTGTGAGGCCCTCTCACTTATTCACAAATACGATAAACACTAAAGAGCTACTCAATAATTATCCAATATTTACATATTGGGAAACTCCCCCACAAAAGATGAATCGGGAACCCAACAGTCCACTCTCTTGCTCAAGGATTGTCTTTTTGTCGGAGTTCCATGCCTACTCGCTCCCTGTAAGGGGCAAAGGTGTGGCACTCCTAAGCCAAGTGTGACACAATGAGCAACATGAGTACATTACACGCGTCCAAAGTTTGACCCAAAAGCAGATGTCCGTGTGACAATTCGGGTATGTCCTATTCTCAAACCGCCCTTTCTTTGCGTTTTATCTTCGGTTCGCCATCACTCAGCCGTGCTTTTGACACTGTCAACGTTCTTTCGTTGCGTTATTTATTGCTAGTTTAACGGATCGTGGTGGTTCGATCGGATGGCAAGACGTCCCCGGGCGTCTTGAGCTGAGTACACTTCGGATACTTTTAGAAGAGCCCTGTCCGCTACCCAGTAGACTTTAGAGATCCGCAAGTTTTCCTGCAATGAACTTTGACCATTTAGGTGTGCGACTGCCCCTTAACTTTTCATCGAATATGAGGCCAAAGAACCGCACCCTCTCCGTGTATCGTGCCGGCGTCTCCGAGGCAGAGTTGTGGTGGTTTATGAGCCCTCCTCAGTCTCCATAAGTCGATGAGTAGAAGGTAAAACCTGTTTCCTCGGCGTACTATTTAGGTCTCGAATTGATTTTAATTTACTTTTTATTTAATTAATTAATTTATGTTTGTATTAACTAAGCGATAATCCGAAGATGTATTGGGACATTAACATAGCTTTATAACAAGTAAACAACTTGTAGTATTGTGCCATCTGATTCCAGTCAGGACCATCCAGGAGTTGAACAGCCTCATCCGGATGTTTGGCAGCTGAAAGTATTTCTTTGAACTCGATCAATTTAGGACAAGTATACAGAAATACTTCTCGGTGCATATTGCAGAGAGATCATATCTCAGAGCAGTAGTTGGATAAGATTTCAAGTTCACCACGAAACCTAAATAAGCATTTTGCTGCGTATAAAT